ATTCAGGGCTGAGAGAAGACGCACGTTCACAAAGGGTTAATTATAAATGACGCCACTGGAAAACAAGAACAATCGCACCCCCTCTGCCTAAACAGGTATACGCCACAACAACAAGAAGACAAAAATATAAATAGTAAAAATGCAAATATGATTTTTTTTTCTAAAAAAAGACAGTTTAAAGAAATAAATACATAGTTCATCGAAATGTTTTGAGACGTCAAAATGTGCTAAAAAAACTTTTAAAGGGGACTCTTAAAGAGGAAATTTCTTAATTTCTCCTTTTTTCAATTCTCAAATACTCTGAAAGTACTTTGTCTGTCTCATTTAGTTAAATTATATTTTAGTAGGATACTGTTCTCAATGTTCAAGCGTGTATATTGACAAGCTGTGTAAAACGATTTTTTAAAAAGAAAGTTAGAAAAAAAAAACGATGTTTTTAAATTTCTTAGTGGTATTTCTTCTTAATAAGTTAATCATTCTGAGTTAATCAGCCTTAGATGACTGAGTATTTTATCTACTCAACAGAAAGATAAATTATTACAAATCTCTCAAATCGCATCGGCTGGTTTCTTGTGAAACACGCTCTAGTAGTAACGGGGTGGCGAACCGGTTACACTCTAATTAGAAGAAAAAACCTTCACCTTATTGAAGTCTGACTCACAGAACAGAATTGCTGACACATAAAGAAAAAAAAAGATAATAAAAAAATTCTATAAAGGAAAAACCCAAAAGACCCAAACGTTGATTTTTTATTTCTTTAACACCTTATTATTAACCAACTAATGCCTCTGTTGAAATTCTTCAACATTATTTTGCGTTTTAATATCAATTAAATGCCATGAAAATAACAGAAAAATTACGAATAAGAATCCGTTCGGCTTAACTTTGTGTTTCAATAGGGGAAAAAAATTCTAACATTTTTAAATTTAGAATTGCGAGATAGAATATATTGAGACGAAAATTCTTCTCTGATTTCATCGCTCCGAAACTGTGATAGGTATATCACCAACCGGTAGACTGGGCTCACACCAAAAAATTGAAACAATCGTTTACTAAAAAAGTTTTCAAGCTCGGGCGATCTAGTTCGGACTCATGGAATTTTCATAAACTGTTTAATTGGGTATACTATAGCATACGTCACAGGTTGTGTTATTCCTACTAAATTTAACCCATGAACGGCATTTTCTGCGAGCCTAACTTCAAGCCACAAATAAACAAACGAAGTGTTTGATCGTTTAAATAGCTGCTCGCCAGATTTTATTGCATTATAAAGAAAAGTAATTGATATTCGATTTTTGATTAATAATTGATTTATGTGGATAGTGGCATAGAATTTAGCATTGCGTCATGGTAAATGTTATTCCCACTAAGTGGAAGTAGTTGTGTTTTTTTTATATTATACCCAATGTTTTTAAGCAAACGTTTGGTACAGTTATTAAGTATAAAACATGTACAATTAATTAATTAATAGTTTTAATGGCTAATTTCCTTGTTTACGCAGCAAAGGCCTAACAGCAAGACCGAAAATTTTGGCCTTAATCCGACGTATATCTCAAGCAGAATCTGGCTATAAGTATTCCTATGTATCTCGGCCATCGAGTGGACCACGAAAAGTGAGCCCTTATTCATCTTCCTCACGTGCTTGGGCTCTTCTCCAGAAAGATTTCTTGGACATGGACTCCTGCTTTTTTATATTTAACGTTTTTATACATTTCCTAACCATTTTAAAACTTTATAAATATGTATATAAAAATCTGCTAGGTTTAATTATTAAATACATAATAAAATTATTAATATACATTAAAAATATTATGTAGTATAATATTCTATAATAGAAATCTGTTCAGTTATGCTGCCGCAGTAATAAGGTGTTAACCATGCATCCTTTCAAGTTGAATCATAGAATTAAGAATTATGTAACTAAGTTTAACATCCGCAATAATATGGCTCTATTTCGTACCATATTAAGGTAACAGAAAATGTAAACGTTACTATTAACGAACACGATTGGGAATTTCATTGTATTTCTTGATCTATAAATAAATTATCTCAATAATAATTTGGTCTTTATCTAACTCAATAAATCTCGGACTCGAAGGCCGAGTGGGCTTGTGCACAAGGCATCAGCCTGTCGCCCGTGTCAGATGGGAGCACCCATAACTCGAGTACCTGCGACAGTTTATAAAAACACACTTTAAAAAAAAGTCTAAAAAAAAATGATTCTATATGACATCAATCATTGAAGTCATTATTGATTTGTTTATTTTTCTGTCCTACACCAACCATTAATTTCGGATATATATTCGTAATTTTTTTAAATTTTTTTATTCACCAATCAAACGAGAATTGAGAAAACATTACTTACTGTAAAACATAATAAAACAAAATTAAAAGTAAAGCAGCGGTTTCTTCAATTCTTTTTGAAACAAGCATTAAAAAGATCACGCACATTGAATACGAAAAGAATTTTAAAAGTAACAAAGTAACACTTATTCTGCGTAATTTTTTTATTTTCCCATCCCAAAAAAGACCAGCAGATGGGTGTAACCAAAACTGATCACTTTTTAAATAGTAACTGATTTTATTGCATTTTATTTTCGAGACGGACAACGCCCTCATTTGAATTTTGTATCAATTCAGACAGGTGTATCAAAAGGCCAATGTAGTAAAATAAAAAAGTCAGATATCTAAATAACATTATCAGAATATGCGAGGAAATAAATCTTACGTTCTCCGACAATACAATTCATCTGTCAGTTTTATAAAGATATCATTTTTATATTTACTTCTCCCAGAGTACTGATTAATAATAAATAAAAAATATTTATTTTCACCCTTTTTTTCTTTAAGGATTGTTTGACAGATTTATAGATAACAATGTATATTTAACTTAAAACCTGCTGAAATTTTTATATCTAATATGAGGCATTTAATCGAATCTCACTATAAAACTGGAATATCGAATCGATGTATCAGATTTGGATTGTATTTTTCTCTCCTTATAATTTTAATCTTTCCTCATAATTTTAATATAAAAGTCTACTAAACCGGACTTAATCGTAACGATTTCCCGAGAAGTATTGTCCTCTTTTGCCAAACACTCTGAACCATGAAGGTAGCGGGTTCGAATCCCGTAAACTTGGATGTATTTTTGTGTTATTCTCCTCTAATATGCGTTATCTGTACTTTAAAAAGTGTTTTTAAGCCTTTCTTCATATTGAGCTTACAGGCCTGCATATGCATGAGAATAAAGAAGTGAATCAAAACGATTTCCCAATCTTCATTAAACTCTAATTTAAGTAGAAAAAAGTCCCGCGGTGAACTGATCGTTAAGACACGGTTCCCATCAAATCACCGAAGTCAAGTATCACTGGCTGCGGTCAGTGTGCGGGTGGGTGACCACTTGGATCAGTCTGCATGGTGACCGAGGGTGTGCGGTATTGGTCCNAATTAAAACGTGATTTAGTACTAGATATATTTTTTATTGTTAGAGGAGGGAGGGCACCAAAATATTTTCAGTGCTTAGGGCCTCAAGAGGTCTTAATCCGGCCCTGGGTGCCATCCCCTCTGCAGAGGATCAAAATTGTGATGGCATGTCTTCGGATCATCCTCAGAGATGTTTCCTAGGCCGTCGCCAATAGCCCATTGTGAAGCTCTAGTGCGACGTAAATGAACAACAACAAGAAGTAGAAAAAAATGGTTTTTATTAATTATGTTTTTCTATCCAATATGGCTAGAAAAGAGATATGGCGAAGATTGTAAGCCCGTTGCTTGGTCTTGCAAACTTTCTAATTTTTAAATTTATTTTTCCCAGGTCGAGAAAACAGAGAAACTAAATTTCTGGACTGCGGCAGAGAAGGTCGTAGGTTCATGCTCCGAAGTCTATGAAGTCCCACAGCTCTGAGTTTGCAAGGAAGGACCAATAACACACACAAGCGCTAAACTGAAGTAAAGTTCATAGTATAACACAGTATAGTAGTTTTTACACAAAACATACTCTTAAGTTAACACTTTATTTCATTGATTTGTTTTAATTCTTTTTTAAAATAAAACGGTATTTTTAGCTAACACTTTGTCAGTGAACAGTCCCGCAGTGGATTGATCGTTAAGACACGGTTCCCAGCAGATCACCGAAGTCAAGCATCACTGGCTGCGGTCAGTGTGCGGGTGGGTGACCACTTGGATCAGTCTGCGTAGGGACCGAGGGTGTGCGGTATTGGTCCTCGTTAAACTGTGCTACCGTAAAGTGCTCGACTTCGCGTGCAGGTCGTCGGGATACCGAAGCGGGGGTGCCATCCCCTCTGCAGAGGATCAAAATTGTGATGGCTTTCTTCGGATCATCCTCAGGGATGTTTCCCAGACCGTCGCCAATAGCCCATTGTGCAGCTCTAGTGCGACGTAAATGAACAACAACAACAACTTGTCAATGAACTTTTTATTTTGAACATAACTCAGGATGGGTCATAAATAAAATGGTACATTCGAACACTGAACGATAGAACAGTTTATCGAAAACCGATATTACACATCCTCTGTACCTTCGCAGGAAGACCAAAGTTTTCCCCAACCTCTTACTGACAGCTGCCAGTGATGTTTGATTTCGATTATTTACTGGTAATCATGTCTTACGATCCACTGCGGAGCATAAAATACATCTCTTCAATGTTAAGCAATAACTTGTGCCGTATCAAGTTACGTCCGTTTTCCTAAAAGTGCTTGTAAAATGAATAAAACTGTGATAAAAACTGATTTTGGTACACGAACCTACGACATTCTACTGGGATCCAAAATTTCAAGAAGCCAACATGTTAAACGTAATTTTTTGCTTTTATCTTAAATAGGACAGAAACATTGAGTTCCAACAACGATTTTTTGAAAGATTTTTTTTTATTGGACGCCAAAGATTTGTAAACCTAATATATATCGTGTTATCAAAGGTACTAAAATTGATTTAGGCAAGTACTATAAAAAGACAATGCTATTCACTGGTTTGTCTAAAAAAGAATATAGAATGTAATTTTATTTATACATAGGGAAGTCCAGCTATATCTCTACCAATTGAAATCAAAACTATACATGTCATAATGAAAATAAATTCCTTGTACTATACAGAAGGGTCAGCGCATTTGTTTGCGCAGGTGCCAGACGCTTCATTGTATTTCAAATTTCGGTTGTTATGAAAACAGTCAGGAAGTTTTATTAAGAACATTTCGAAAGTTACAAAAATGACTTTTTCCAACTTAATCCTCTCTTATTCGTTTTATAAATGGGTCGGCAGTATCATTGTTGGTGTAAAGTTGCTTAAAATATCGTACTTCATTCTGTGGAATATTTCGTATCGCATTCGGGAATACTTTGAAATCGGTATCATTCGCCCACATATTGGTAAATGGGCAGGTAAGATTTTCAAGTTTATGTTCAAAAGTAAAAATTTATTTCCATTAAAGAAAATGTTAAGAAATGTATATTTAAGACACGTTTTTTTCCCCTTCTAGTAATTACTGGTGGAACTGATGGAATAGGGAAGGCTTATGCGGAAGAGGTATTTAAGGCAATATTTGTATAAATAAATATGAATAATTAATATAAAAGCTGCCAAAAAATATTAGTTACCCCAGAAATCTATCAATTAAATTTTATTTATTATTGATCAGCTTTAATTTTGTCCTGGGATATAAATTTCAATCAATTCAAAAAGTTGATATGCTCCGACTTTGTAATCTTTAAAGTAGCGGTTCCCAAAAAGTGTTTCGCAAAAGGATCACAGCGGTTCCGAGAATTCAGACAATTTTTTTTTTAAAAATCTGTAACAATATTTGAAATTTTATAACAATATTTCAATTTAATAACAATATTTAAATTTAAATTGTCGCTAACAATATTTAAATTTATATGCAGTTATTATTTACTTAATATTTCGATTACTTCTATTAAAATATTCAAGCAAAATGTCAGTGAAAAAGATTGTAGATTTAAAAAAAAAATATTTATAATTACATCAGTATTTTCCATCAAACTTTTTAATACAAAGGTAATAATTTTTTAACAAAATTTGTAGTGACAAATTTTTGGAAAATGACACTTCCTTTCTAAACAAAAAATAAAAATTATCATTTTTGTTGGATATTTAGGAATCTTCAAGTCTGTAAGTATTTATGTGGCATGAATTTTGCACGGAAACAATCATATTTATGCAATTTATTCTTTCTAAAAAGAAACATTTTTTAAAAATGCTGATATTCTAAAATGGAGTCAAGCACTAGCCGATAATATATAATAAATGATGTTTTTGATGACTTCGATTACGGTGTTTTCAAATATCTTAACAATTTTTAAACATGAAGTTCTACTGCAAAGTTAGAGTAAAAATGTTGTACTTATAGAACTGTTATTAATGCAGGAGCCTACTAGCAATTGAGACTTATGTATACAGCTGTACCGTACTGTGTGTTACGACTGTACTGCATCGTAATTCGCACCGTAATGTGTTCAATATACATGCTAAAGATTGCTTGTCAAAAATGAAGACAAAAATTTTTTATACACCCACCATCCTCCTCACTGATTTGTCTTGTTTGCCACCCATAAATATTAACTTACGATAGCCAGTGTGTACATTTTTTGGTATTCATTTTTTACAAGAATACGAAAAATGTGCATAAAGGGTAGCTATTTTAGAACATCCTGTATACAGAATAATTCAATTGTTCACAAAAATAAAAAGTGTATACTGCCCTAATTCTAACTATTTCTTATAGCAAGCGAATTTTATTTTTGCTCTATTATTTGAGTTTTGGTGTTAATCTAGCTGAAGTATGATAAATATATTATCTTAAAATTGAAAGTTTTATTTATTCCTTTGATGGCAAATTCTTACTAGATCTAAATGCATGTTAGGTTAATCATATTGATATTGGTCTACTAATAATCATTATAACAAAATTTCAGAGAAATTGTCATTTGCCTCATTTTTTTAAAAGTTTTATAAATTTATGAGTATTTTTTGTTAGTTCCATTCTGATTTTTGGTTTTTCATTCTGATTCTTTTATTTCAGCTGGCTAAAAGAGGATTCTCCATTTGCTTAATTAGTCGAAATATAGAGAAGTTGAACACTGTTAGCAAAGAACTAGGCAAGTCCATTTATAGATTCCTTATTTATTATTACGAGGAGGCCCGAAAATGATCGAAGATTTGAAAAATCAATTAAAGAAGAATGGAAAGATATATGTATATTTAAGTGTGTTAGAAAACAAGAGTATTTTTCTCACCAAATTAAAAAATAGGTAACTTTGTTCAACAAAATAGCGTTACAGACTGGAAATATTATAGAACAATGCACCAGGCTGTTGCTGCAGATATTTATTTTAAACACATTATTTTAGTTTTTCCCAGTTAGCTGCACTATCAGTTGACGGATTTAGCAATGAATTTTTAAACTTTGTGAGAAATTTCTGGTTACCTTAACAGAACGCAGCAAATAGCGTATTTTAAAATTCGTCCCATTTTCTTTAAATTGCTTTTAAAACCATCGATCATTCTGAGGAAACTTTTGGTTCGGTTTCCGAAGATAGTTTCAAAATAATTCAATACGCTTTTACCTATAACTTGACTACAATTTTTGACTATTTTATTTTTATTCAACTTTCGCTGCTTAACACGTTCACGCCGGGGTGACCCACCGGTGGGTCACGCTAGATTGTCTCATCTTGGCAGCGCACCGGAGTAAAAACTGGTAAAAATAAATTTCATATTTTAGTTTTCTTCCGGGAATAATAAAAATCCATAACTACCAAATGTTTTTAAAGGATGCAATTTTTATATTGAATTGCTTCTTCGCCGTGATAAATTTCCTTACAGTGAATTGTTATTGTTGAGAATAGATTAACTCCTCCCGAATATTATCTAATATTGAAATAGTTCTTCTACCAGTATTTTCACTTTTCCCGGCGTGAACGTGTTAAAGTCTATTTCTCCCAACGTAGGAGCGAAATGTGAATGAATAAATTTAGTAAATTTACCAAAGCGACTGTGTGAATGTTGACATTCCGCGGAGAAAAATATTTATTTCTAATTTTAATTAAAATTTGTTCACGATTATAATTTTTCTCTTTTTAATAGAAGGTAACTACATCATTGAGACGAAATCGATAAATGTGGATTTCACGGCTGGTCCTGAAATATATTCAGAAATTGCAGAAGAACTTTTAAAATTAGAAGGTGGAATAGGAGTACTAGGTAATGTATGAATTGTAATTGAATTGATATGTGCGTTAAAATAAGATACTGTGTCAATGAATAACTTCTTAAATTGAAATACACATTTATATTTGGATATGTCTGAATATTTGATATTTCCTTAGTATAGTATAAATGTATCCAGGATGGTGTTCGATATAACGTAACAAGAAGGGAAGAGCAATTGATATAAAAAAGCAAAAAAAATTACTTGGGGTCGCAAGTGGGAGGGGTAGAAAAGACAGGGAGTTGAAAATTATATGTAATGAGTGTACTAAGAAAATTAATCATTTCGCGACATTTAATTTGTGCTGTATTTCCACACGTCACACATTTATGACTTCTACAGATCATGCACAAAATTTTTACTTAGCTCTTGGATTCTAATCATGTCAAAATTGCGTGTAATGGTGCACCTTCGCCAACACACCAGGTGTTAGGAACGAAATTTCCTAGGATGAAATGGGCTTCTTAAATAGGTCCTTGAAAAAAGTGATAATCTGTTGGAGAAGACAAAGGTTGTGATTCTTCCTTATGTTCCCGCCCTTTAGCAGTTTCGGATAGAGTTTGCCCCCCCCCTTTTTTTTTAAAGGAAAAAAAAATTCCTGCAATGTTTGTTCAATTTCCCTTCTTTATTTCGATTCATCCGGTATAACTGATTTTAACAGCAAATTAGCAAAACTCTGCTCGTGCCGTAAGTTCTTTTAAAAAGAAACATAACTTGATCAACATAGATTTGTATCATTTTTTTAACTATATCGAGAGTGGTGAGATAAAATTTTCCCACTTAGCAGGAATAGTTGTCTATAAGATTGTAATAGTTTTCATCTATTCAAACATGACCATGTGGTTTTCAATCAACCACTTATAAGTTTGTTTGGAAAATAAAAAAATTAAAAGATCGCCTGATTTTAGACGCACACACAATGACTAGAATTTTTGTGCTTCTTGACTAAAAAATTTCTGCAAAAAATGTCCTGGATGCCCGTAAATTTTATTTTTTTTTTTAATTAAAAAAAGTGGATATTTTTACCGTCACGTCTTCTATCAAAAGGTAACTGAAGATAGAATCGAGTTAACATGTCCTTTATACTAGCGAATGTGAGTTTAATACAGGGTTCGTACGCACCTGGAAAAGAATAAAAACTGGTGCAAATTTTGTTATAAGGGAGCTAATTATTTCTAAATATTAGTTTGAACTTTCTATTAGAATTTTATATCCTCCACCTTTCGAATCTACATATATTTACTTAGAGAAAATAAAATACTCGAGTAGCTAAAAACATAATATATGTATAGATATAAAAAAAACTAATATTACTCTTTTTTAATTCTTCCCAGGCGTGTATGAACCATGATATAGTTGTAGTTGTAGCTTAGCTACACTACTCTGAAACTGAATTGGCCTCAGTGAGATTCAGTTTCAAACTTTTGAAAAGAAAAGAAATTTTCTCAATTTATCGGAAACATGATATTTAATGAAGTTCTAAGATTTTCGAAATTGTTTTAGTCAGTTCAAAATTAGTTTCTGAAATTTATGACGCAGTGTTGTAAAAAATGATGCCAAATTAACAATCTAACTCTTTTCAGTTCTGGATGAAAGTTTTTTATAAATTAATTCACTAATTGTTTTTTTTTCTTCATCTTTTTTCTTACATGGTCTAAAATATATTGTGTTTGTGTTTATTGATATTGTGTATTTTGGGTAAAATATTTAAAACAACTTTGCTTTGTTAGAATCTATAGATAATGATCTATAAAAAATGTAATATTAAAAAATTAGAAGAAAAAAAAACCTTGCTATTCCGGAGAAAAATATTGCTTTGAATATTTTCAGCAGCTCTGTATTTTTTCTCTTAAATTGATGAGATTTTTAAAAATCGCAAAAAACAGGAAAGTATTTTTGTAATTCTATTAAACATAGTATTTGAAAGTAAATTAATCAACTGATAATTAAACTTGTTACTTTTTGCTGAACATTGCGAAAATCCACGCTTGAGTAGGATATTAATTTTAAAAAGGCTACTCTAACTCTTTGATTTAAAAGAAAAAAGGTTCAACTTAAAATTTTTCTCATATATTTGAAAAAGAAAAAAAAAATTCTATGAGCTCATAGCGCACTTACAGTTCCGTTTCTTAAAAAAGACCGTACTACTGCAAATTAAATTTTTCTTAGGCTATTCTTTTAGATGTTTTTGAGAGTCTGATATTTCAGTAATATTTTCACGATCACGGTTCTAATGTCAGTTGAAGTGAGAAAAATATCAGTTCAGAAGTTGACTGGTTTAAGGAAAATGCAAATTTTTAATTTATTTCAGAAAGCTTGAAAAATCAGTAAAGCGAGATTAAAATTAGAAGAAAAAAATACCGCGTTTAGTTTGGTTTTTGAAAATAACACGCAAGACTATTTTATTTTTTCGATCAGACACATGTTATTCTCGAGATATTCCCATTTTTAACAATATTTAACTTTTTGTTTTCCGATTACAGCACCACCTGTAAATTAATATGCAAAAACCTGATAGTGCAGCAAATCAGAAATGACGAAAAAGGGGATTCCTGTAAGGATGGTGTTTTCTACATTAGTGTGCGCCGCAAACTTTAATAGTCTCCCTGCTTTCCGGGCGCTTTGTATTTTAAATGTATTTATTTTAGTTTAAGTAAATTAATTTTTGTTTATTTGCAGTTAATAATGTGGGAATGAGCTATAAATACGCCGAATATTTCCACGCAGTGCCAGATGGATCAAATGTAAAGAAACAACTTTTTTTATAACTTAAGATGTTTAATACTTTTAACAATGATTTTTTTATTAAATTTTTTTTCTTTTACAGTTCATGATGAATTTGATCAATTCAAACATCACATCCTGCACAATGGTGAGTTCTTTTGTCTGACACACATTATTTTTTAAATTCTTCTAAAGCTTTCAATAAATATTTTAACTTAAGACTCGCGTTTTTGAAATATAAAGTTTATGAGATGGGCTACAGAATGCAACGATCAATTAACTAAAAAAAAATTGCGAAAGGATAACTTTTTAACTGTAACAAGTTATAGATTTTTTTTTATAAATAAATATAAAAGAATAACCTCCGGAACTTTAACTTGTAAATTGAATGTAACAAAAATTTTTGTCATACTCACATCACTCTAGAGGACATGGCGACATTTTTCGTCATGGATCTTACTTGAGGCGTTTAGTTAGTACTACTTTTAACTAAGAAAAGTCTTCATTATGAAAAGAGTTGAACGAAATTTTATTCCCCGTTTAACAAGTGAAGTGGATGGCAGAAAATATTATTTTTATTTGTATATGAATAGCTAATAAAATATGTAAATGTATAGCTAATATATTTGAGAGATGTATAGCTAATAAAATAATCGTATGAATGCTATATTCATCTATAGCTATGCATGCCGTAAATTTGTCCAAAAGGTTTACTGGATCGATTTTTTACCTTTCTTATAATTTTCCTTTAAAGACTACGACTAACAAGGGTAAATCCAATTATATTTTTACATAAGCAATCGCTTAGTAAAAGCATACAAACAGAAAATAATCTTAAGATATCATTTTTTAAGTATTAAAATTGTACCAAATATTATCCAATATATTGGACACTGTGTCTCGGGATTTATTTTATTTAATAATCGTCGATGAACAACGGATCGAATTTTGGGTTTACGATTACTAATGTTCAGCTTTGTAATTTTGAACCCAACCCAGAGGAAAAGGGAACTCCTGGATCAAGTATTGGGAGAAATTTGCTTTCATGGGGGGACTTTTCAATGGAACTAATCCGTATTTGCGTTACATGAAAAGGGAAACAACGTAAATCTCCCACGGTTAGTCTGACGGCCAGGAAACTCTAACCCATGATCCGTCTACCACTGGGGATATTTTACGCTAGTACTGTGGTCGGTGCGGAATTCGAATAGACCAGCCATCGCTGGGATTCGAATCCGGTACACCTCATTGGAAGGAGAGCGCTCTATCCCCTGAATCACCATGGCTCTTAGGACATATTGACTAATTTTGTGTTTATATATTTAGGAGTCGTACAAAATCTAATTTTTATACGTACTAGGGGGGGAGGGGCTCTAACCCCTGTTCGCTGCCGCTCATCTACCCCGATGAATGCTTCGCAATGATTGTTTTTATTTTATAAGTTTTTTTCTAAGTAAGTATAAATTATTTACTTAAAATATATCTATTTTATATTTTTGTTTGCTTATGGTTGGGTCCCCACTTCCAACATTCATTTCTTTTCGTTTAAATGTTTATTTTGAGGCAAATCTGGTAGGTTTTTTGAGGTAATGTTTATTTTGAGGTAATTCTATGTATATTATAACTCTATTAAGATCTATTAGCGAATATAAATAATTTTGCTTAGTAATTTTTTTAAAATCAAAAGTACTTGGAAAAAAAAAATTGCCGTAAACCGTAAAAATTCACAACTGTAATTTAATAATTTCGCTTACGAAACAGGCTTGATGTATGAAATAAAATTTGAACATAAAGTTCATTAAGTTCTAAATCATTTATCGAATCTCTTAAACGGTAATTTGAAATAGCATATTAATGCAACTTGCTCCCAAAAGTAATTGTAAAACGCTTAATAAGTTAAGACATCGATTTAAATAAGTTTATCTTAAAATGTAACAAAATAAGGTAATATCATATAGAATTAGGTCATAATAAAGAAACAACTCTTTTAGTTTTAAACACTAGAAAACAATCAAAATAACAGAGTAGAATAAGAAATTAATATTACTATATACAGGCAAATTCCTTATAATCTAGAATACCAAATTTTTTTTTTATAGGAAAATAACTTTTAAGATTTTTATTAAAATTACGCTGATGACAACTATAAAATATGGAAATTAATGTGGAAAAGCAGGATCCAAGCGATTTTACGGTCATTAAAAATTACCGACAGCAAATAGAAAACTGAGACATACCATCAATATTTTTATGTATAGTTAGAGATATAGCTTTCCGTAATGACATCCCATAATACATTTGTAGAATCCCCGCCAAATATGAAGTTAAAAAAAATATGCACGTTAGATATTGCAAATTATTATTTAAGCGAGTAAAGAACAAAACGATCGAAATCTAGCGAATTACTCCTGAGAAGATGGGACTGAAAACATTAATACGCGCTGCGCTTGTTTACTTGACAGGAGTTCATCTTTGGTTATTAAGTTTTCATTCGATAATCTGATTTTGTTTAAAGCCCCGTCTTTCTCAGTAATGATTCGTTAGATGTTGATAGTTTAAAACAGAACTAATACAAATCGGTATTATTTCGGTCAACATTTCGTCTTGATGATATATAAGGTGAACAGTTGTTTAGAGAATTACACATTTGATTATTTTCCTCTTCCAACCATTAGATGATGAAAATTGTGCTGCCATATATGGTGAATAAGAAAGGAATCATCATTAATATATCTTCATTGTTGGCTGTTTATCCAATGCCATTCTTGTCAACTTATGCTGCATGCAAAGTAAGAACACAAACTCTGAGTATCTTACAAATTATTTGAACTTCAGTTTATTCTTTTCCTATTTCCTTTTTAATAAAAAATATTGCACTGCTATAAGATGATTTTCTACTAAGTTACTTTTTTTTTTTAAAAGAATTGCAGTTAAGTTCTTTTCGAGTAGCAGAAAAATTTTACAACTAATCTTTTCAAGTGCTGATCCTGTAAGTTAAGAACTCGTTTTTTTTTTTAAATGAAATTTATTTTTCTGAAAATAGATTAATAGATTGAAACAATAATTATACTTCATAATATCAAAGAAAATTTAATATTCTAAAAATAAATACAGGTTTAGAGTGTCTGAAGTGTTACTTGCTTACTCGCTCTTTTCTCACCAGACATAGTTTCCAGCATCTTTAACCTTATAGAAGCGAAGCTGCATCTTGCTCATATATCATTGATCTTGTGCGAATCCTTTTAATCTTCGACTATGATTTTCAAAGTAATTAAAAAAAAATTTCAGCTCCTCTTTGTTTTATCCAATGTATCGTCCAATGATAGTATTTGAATTAATTTGAATAACTTAATGAAAGAACTTTTAAAAACAAATAATTTTGAGAAGTATGATATAATTTAATTAAAACACTAAATATTTAAGTGATTCATTGATAAATTAAACATATCTTTTTGAACAATCTTGATTTTTTTTAAAATTTTTATTTTTACTTTGAAGGTGTATGTCGATTATTTGTCGAAAGCAGTTCAATATGAATATAAAGACAGTGGAGTTATTATACAGGTAAATAGTGATTTCCTTCTATTTCTTTCTAAAATTAAATAAGTTCTATAATTCTCGATCTTTTGCATTAAAAAACAATGGCAGAATGTTTTAAATATGGACATTGCTTTGCAGGAATTTGAAAGAAGTGTAAAGATTTTATAACCATGCATTCATTTTAAAAAATTTTCTCATCTTCAAATAATCACGATTTCCTTGACCCCCTTCTCCCTGAGTGGCCGTTACTTCTTTTATTCCAGTTTTTTCCTGTTGCTACTCTTATTTGTTTTATCATGAACATCGTTAAATGTTCTTGCTTTTTGTTCACAACATCGCAAATTATCAAAGTTTAGCATTGTAGTGTATCTACCACTACAAAAATACAATCCCAATTCACTAGTATATAAGACATGTTAACTCGATTCTATGTAGGGGTATCTTTTCATAGATGAAGGTTGACATTGTCCAAACAACAATCCCCACAGTATTAAGAGTATAGCTGTCTCCAGCTCTTGTGCCTTTACACTCGTAATCTAATTCAATTGTTTTGATATTTGCATCATGTTTGCAAAATAGATATATGTATCAGTCCTTTTATATCAGCATCATCTAATTGCAGAGCGTTCTCCCGGGATATGTGGCGACAAAGATGTCCAACAGAAAACCTAGGTTAGAGGTACCTTCAGCAAAGGAATTTGTAAGCAGTTCCATAAAGACAATTGGATATGAATCGCATACTTATGGATACATTGTCCACAGGATGAGGGTAAATATTAACACTAAATGCATTTTATTTTGATAATTCAGAATAAGTGTAAATTTAAGCAAGGAGAAAAAAAAGAAGCAAATATCATGAATAATTTTGGGTTAATTTTCACAAACATAAAATGTGATCTTAATGGTTAAAAGGGTTATCTTAAATATGATGAGTAACAGAATAATTTAAATTACAGAAAAATGAACAAAAGAACTGAACAAATAGAACAGAACAAACGTACTTTATTTTGTTAATTTTTAGAATATGAAGGGGATTTAATTAGGATGGTGGTCAAAAGTTTAAAAAGCCTTCGTTGCTAATTTTCCTTTTCTATGACTAATTTTCTTTCTTCCAATTGCAAAATAACATATTTTTATAGCATTAAAGTAGTGACTTTTGCCATTTAAAATTACGAACTTTGAAGAAAATCGGTTAAAACATTCTCAAAGCAATAAAACTTTAAGAACAATTCGATCAATTCCGTGGTTTAAAAAAATAAATCATACGTCAAAACTAATCTTGCAGAAAAACAATTGTCTTGGAAATATTTTTTTCTCGTGAATTTGAGTTTCATGGCATCTGGTTTGTTTGGAAATATTACAGGATGACTACAAAATACTGTTACAAATATAGAATCATTTTATTGCACAGATATTAAATAGAAAATAAGTACATAAATATTATGAACACTATAAATGGAAGTTTATCTTAATTTTTTTTTATTCGAATCTAACACCATCTTTATTGATTACTAAAGATAATCTCTTTCACCATTGTTCGATGGCGGCACGAATCATTTTAAAAGGTTTATTGTCCTATTCCCGCAATAAATTAACTCTAAGAGAGTTTCCAAACTTCTGTGCTGCTTAGCATTAACTTCTTTCTCTAGAATCCCCAAAACACAATTCTAAAGGATTTAGATTAAGAGCCAATCTTGTTTGATAAACTTTCGGGCAATTGACATGGAGCATGGAGCCAAGCCTGTGTTATTTTGGCTCTGTGTAGAATCTTACTGAAATATCCAATCCCATTTTGGTATACAATCTAACAGCATAAGTGGCAATACATGTGTAGCCAATACTTTTTTTTTGTAATATTCAGCATTGACTTTTATCGACGGATTTCTGAAAGCGTGCGAACACTATCAGGTTCGCCGAACATCGAAGATTGCTGAATACACAACATTATTTTTAGCAATATAAGTTTGTTCTGTGTAAAATGTTTTCTCATCAGAAAAGATTCTCTGTCCACACTTTTGTTACCGTGCTGTTTCAGCAATTTCGTACATCTTTGTAACCTTTTTTAATTGCAGTTTCAGTTTGTAGGTCAGTAGTCAAAGCATGAACTTTCCTTTTGCGATAAGGGCGAAAACCCAGGTCTTTATTTAATACAATGTATAGTTCTCCGATTCACATTCGCTTCTGAAGCCTTTTTATTAGCAGAACGTTGTGGATTTCTTCGTTATCTTTTCACGAATTCTTTCAATGCGCTCTTTTGTACGAATTGAGCGCTCACGATGGGTCGATCTTTATGGCTATTAGAATCGATTTATAGTTCTATAAGACCCCTAGCGATTTTAATTGTTTAAAGATTCTACAAGCAGAAAATCCGCTATCGAAAAACTGTTAAACCATCAACAAAAATCGTCAGCACTTATATAAAGTGTCACTCACTAGAATGGTGAAAGGGCAATTGTTTACCAAACGGTTAAAATTAATTTTTATTTGTTGGAGCCTTAAAGTAATTAGTAGCCTTCCTAGTAATTGTCAATCAAGTTATCATTACCTGCGATTTAAATAGGAAAAATTATTTAACAGAGCTCATTATTTTAGTAGCCTTTTCAGAAACTATTTTTATAAACGACGTTGCTATGTATTTCCGTCCAACTAAAGCCCTGATTATAAATGAGCTATTCTTATTTCTTCTTACAAAGTTGAATGTATTCAAAATGACTAGAAAAATATCCCCCACTTTATCCCATTGGTACCTGAAAATTAGAGGTAAATAAATTGTCATAAAATGTATTTCATGTTTTTAAAAAGTTAACGAGAAATATTCCTGACCACCATAGTAATTCGATAACTCAAACTAATATAAAGTTATGTTTGTAGTGAATAATTTATTGCATGTAAGTGGTTGCTGAACCAGGTGCATTTCCACAGCTTTGATTAGTTAACTAGAATAACCTTGAGGGATCACTTGACGCCTCCTAAAAAGAATTGAAAAAATCCCCTTACAAAAAACTGAATGAATAAATTAGTTCTGTTCAACTAAATCATAAGTGATAAATGTGCTTTATTTTGTGCACATGGGATTGTGGATTGAAAATCAAAAATTGGTTTGAAAAATATCTCTAACCAAAAAATATCTCCTCCTCCAAATTTATATTTTCATATATGAACATTCCTAAAACTAATTCTCACTTGTTAAAAAAAAGTAGCCTTTCTCTTAATAACTATGAAAAATTTATATTTTGTTTATATTTTATTATTTTATTTATATTTTATAAATTTTACATTTTCATATATGAACATTCCTAAAACTAATTTTCACTTGTTAAAAAAAATTGTTGAAAAAAAGTAGCCTTTCTCTTAATAACTATGAAAACTTACCCCTTTTTTGTTCCGAAACAAAAGCAAGCTATTCAATTGTCAGAGAATGTTTTATTTTGTTGATGACAGAGGTATATAATTTTTTGTGTTTTGCAGTTATTTTTAATATTATTCCAGTTCTCAAATGTAGATTGAAATAGAAATTTATATTAATGTGGTTTGCTGATTCCAGGGTTTCCTCCATGAATGGTTGAAGTCCCATATGCCCGCAAATGTAAATCTTGCTATTTCTGGTTACATAATGCGAAAGAACAGGGACAGCTATTACAAGAAACAGCAGAAGAAATCTTTGGTGTTAGAATAAAGGAAAATTATACATAGTTACTTCATTTTTGCTTGTTAAATATTTTTTTAAATGTTAAATGAAAAGTATTTGTTTTAAAATAAAGTATATGTGCAAGTAGAAATGAGCTTATCAATTATTGAACTCGTTTGTTGTATTTTTTTGTTGATAGTTTATTCATTTTTATTTTACAGTAGCGTTAAATTTTACAGCATTTTACTTTGGGAAAGTGCTACGTGAAGTTGGATTAGGAGCGAAAGTCTTATATTTATATATATTAATGTGGAAACTGAACTAAGGATCAAGAATATGAATCTAAAAAAAAAATGCTTGACTTTAAACTTTTTTTTCGATATCTAACTTACATTAAATGCAATTTTACAAGACGTATCTTTGTAATCTTAAATTTAACAAAATAGAAATGCATGAGGGGGGGGGGGACACCACCCCTTCTCCCAAGTTTTTGGAACTCCTTCACAATTTCAGAGACCATTTAATTTGTTATTCATTCACGTTTCAAGCAATAATTTTAAATCTTAATGGTTTGAGAAGGCAAATTTAATTATGTTAATTGACTGGCACCTACAATATTCGATACTAAGAAATAAGTACTACCTTAGATACACTTAGAGGGACTTACAATATTCGAAATTAAGAAATGAGTACTTAAGTACTACCTGCTTGTAACCATAACTTTTTTTGCATAGCCTAGACTCTTAAAATATTAAGGATTGATTCAGAGTTCATACTAAAAAAAAATATTTTTTTCCCTGACCTTTCTAAATTTACGTAAAATTCCCAGATTAAAAAAAAAAAAAATGCAACAAAATTTATATTTTATAAAATTGTAAATTAGAATGATAAATAAAATCGAAACTCTAAGGAAGCATTTATAAATTATTGTTACTTAAAAAAAAATCAGATGATTTAAATTGCACCAAATCTGCTTCGAAATAATAAATCTACAGAACTATAAACATAACTGAAAGGGGAAAGTAAGACAAAGGGAACTTACTAGACAATATTAAACAGGAAATATTAAAAACAGACAAGCAAAAACAAATCAGCAATAAAAAAGTAATATTTAATTGTTAGCTTTAAAATAAATAAATTATCCTAAAACATGAAACAAAGCTGCAAAAAAATAAATAATAAAACTAATCAATAAAAGAACTTTTCAATATTTAAATTATTTTTAAAAAATAATAAAGCTTAATAAAATTATCATAGAAATATGTATTTAATTTAAATTAAAGCAATAGAGGAATGTTTTTAAGAATAGAAGGCTGAGAAATCAGACTGTAAAACTATTTCAAGGATAGGTTTTACAGCTTTTCATTTAGACTGGAAATTTGAGAGTTTGTTTTCATTTGTTCAGTGTATTACCCTTTGTAAATACTATTTTTTTCTAATTTTGACATTAAATATAAAAAGGATGGTAGATGGTCAGTGGCACATAACAGAATATAATTCTGAAAGATCCATGTTTTAAAATATACCATACCAAAGTTGAATTCTGAAAATGAATAAAAATTTAATGCCTTCTTTTTGTTATAATTAAAAATTATCAAAAATTCATAAATGCCACACATATAAAAGTTTCAATTGCTGAATAGAATACAAAAGTGTTTTTTAAAAAAATATGATTCTTTTTTGTCATAATATGGCAGGAAAATGAATCATGCAAATGGTTTATGAGCAGGAAAAAGCAATAACTGCCACATTTATGTAATGAAATGCTTCATATTATTTTTTTGGCGAGTAGTTTTGGTGAAGCAGTTGTGTGTTAAAAGAAATTGGCTTCAAGTATCCCTTGTTCAAAATTATTTTAAATGTTGACTTACTCTCAGATTTTATTTTTCCAATAAACTTTAAATCTTTGGAGGTTTATTGAACTTTCACTAAAATTATACTGAGTTTAAATTAAAATTTCTTCACAATTTCAGGAAGAACGAAGCACTTGGGTATTGAATGAAAATACACAAATTAAATCAAACATATTCAAAATCATTAATTTTAATTGATAAGATTAAGCTCTTTTGACTGCAAACAACATGAAACTTAGCAGAATTGCATCTGGTGAGGACGCCCACTGCTTTTGGCACATGTAAAGATTTTAATTTTATTGGTGATTTTGTTTTTTATTTATTTTAAATAAAGATATCTATACTTCTAGAGATTTAATTCAAGGTGCCACGGTCTGAAATAATCATGACAGCAGAAGAAATTCATAGTTTTCAAACAGAATTAGCTAAAATAATTTGAGTTTGGCAGGAAAAAAAGAGGTACATCCAGTTATTTTAGTATAAAGTGCACAAAATGAAAAATATAACACCTTGCCTATTGATTTAATCAACGGAATGTAATGTATTAAGAAGCAATTTCAATGGTGAATGAGCCTAAACTTGAATAAGCAGTGCAGACTATATTTTAAGTTTGTAAAGGAACACAAAAATGCATTTTCTCAGAATAAACATACTTTTTCTTAGACGGATTTGTAATCTTGATTCTCAAAACATGAGAGGAAGCCTCTATCTTAATAAGATTTTTTCAATGGTTTGGTTGGGAGAAGGTGTCGTGAATTTTAGAGCCCATTAATATTAGGGCTATTCCATGGTAACTTACGTTACATTCACAGAAACTTTATTGCACTGAGAACTTAGAAGCAAACAAATAATACTAATACACAATCTAAAATAAAGTGATTTCTTAAAATTACAATCAAAACCAAAAGGAAACTAATTAGAATAATTAATATTTTTCAATTTAAGCAGTGTAAAAACCTAAAACTAGTGTGGTAACTTACGTTACTGAAAAAGGAATGGCATAAATTTGCAATATGCTTGAAGGCAAAATTCTGTTCTTATACAAATGTTAATTGATTAAGATTATATGTATCATTTTACTGACATGTTTAAATATTTATTATGCCTAGATTTAAGATTTTATTTCAAAAGTTAAATTAAATATAATTTTTTAAGTGGGTAACTTACGTTACAGTAACTTACGTTACGAAATTCCCTTTGTATCAAACTTTTATCAAATAATGTACAAATGCAAATTAAGTTATTTAAACAGTATAGTGCAAGGGAGAAAAAGTGTACATGAAGTAAATTCAGATACTTTTGATTCACACATAACTGCAAACTTATTAAGTCCTCTGTTATTAACTAGTACAGGGGGCTCAATTCTTTTCACCATGCTTTCTTTCTGGTAGAATATTTCATCTCTTTTTCCTGGTCATTTCCAATAGATTCCCACAGCAGCCATTACATTGACTTTAAATTCTTGCTCTTCAACAGACATTACCACACCAGGATATAACTTTTCCTCGTATCTAACCATATACCAATCTCCAGCTTTTATTTTGGATTCATCATTTTGTTTTTCAACATCTTTCACTTAAAAAACCCTTCTGGTATACCTTCTTGAACTTTTAAATGGTGGATCTGCTTAATGTTTTTAATCTGTGGAGCTTTTGAGAATAGACTAGACAGATTAACTTTTTCTAACACTTCTTAATATCTTCTGGTGTGATCAAACTATCTGGTTCATATTTTCAGATTGCAGCTAACTTTCATATGCTTCGGGTAAAGTATTAAAATCCGAGGGATAAAAAAGATAAAGAGAAGATACTTTTTTGTATCTGATTATATAACTTTAAATATTGTCTGCACTCAAATAGCATATTTAAGGATAGGTTCTCAAGCCAGTTGGATTGCATCGTAGTTTGTTAAAGTCTGCCTATTAAAGCAGAAGTTATTAAGACATTCATTTTTTTATTTTGGGTGCAGTAAAGTCAGGTTAAAAATGCTCTGGCAGTTGAAACAACCAGAAGGAATGAAGTGTCCTCTAATACACCTGCTTTATGTCATCTTATCCAGCATATGGGATAAGTTGGCATTCTTTTTAACAATTTTATTTAATATTTTTATTAAAAAAAACATTTTTTATAAAGTAAATATTTTTACAAATTAAAATGTATTCTACCATCAGTTTGTTGTCGAGTGGTTCAACTAGCCATTCTACTAATCATATTTAATGTAAGTGCTATAGAAAAAATAAATAAAATTATTCAAGTTAGCCCCCTTTCCCCAGTTTTATTTATTCTTACAAAAAAAGTGGTTAAACAGATCTTAAAAAGATTCTAACAAATTAAAATTTTGCAAAAAAATTTATTTTGTCCAGGGAATTCTCCAATATTTTTCAAGTCTTTCCTTAATAACAGTTTTGAATTTGACAAATAAAAAAAGTTGTGATGACGTTGATAAATGAAAAACATTGATGTATTCTGGAAAAATTTTTCAAAAAAAAAAAAGTTTTTCTTTTTTAATTTTGAGATTTTTTTTATTTATTCAAGAAATGTTCAAATAAAATCTTCATGTGATTTAAAAATAAATAAATAAATGAATTCTACGAACTATTTGATAAGATTTGATGCTCGTTGTATAATTTATTTGTACAAATCAGATTTAGCTTAATAGGAAAAATACTAAACATAGAAACTAATATAAAGACAGTTTTTTTGAAAATACTAAGACTTGTCGAAAAATCAGGTTATACCTGGTCAGATTATTAAAGTTAAACATTAACTTAAGAGGTACTTAAGTACTATCTCATCGACCATTTCCGCCTAACGATGGTTGATGGTAAAAAAAATGACTCTGGAACAAGCCAGAGTCCTTTTTGTATCTTTCAAATTTATTTTTATAAATTAAGTATAAAAATTGATAAAATATAAATATAACTTATAGCAAAAAATGAGCAATATTTAAATATGAACTATTTCTAAATTTATTGCCAGATTTGGCGAAAATGATTGACAGTATAATAAGTAGGTACCATTTAAAAAGGTCATTCATAAGAATACTTATAGCATTTTTGTTCTTTTACAAATAATTGATTAAACTATTTCAGATGTTACCAAAAAATACACTCAAATTAAAGAATAAAATATAGTAGTTTTCAACAAATTTTTATTAAACTAATTAAAATCTTTCAAAATATTTACTTCTGGAATAATTTTTTTTTTATACTAAGCAACAAAAATCACGAAATTGTCCTAAATATACAGTTTGACATCAAAAGACCTATTGTATAACAGAGATAGAAAATAAGTGACAGGTAACATTTACAGAAAAACACAGTTGAATAATAAATTTCGTAAAAAGAGTACAAATATCAATACAAAAATAGAACTTTCGAAAACAGTAAAAATTTGACTAGGTTTATATTTATAGACTGGTATTTTTCATCTATACCTTGAAATGCTAGTGTCTTTTCATTTTCTTAAAAATGAAATAATTTTAACCATCCCCAAACAGTAATTCCCAAATAGCATTCAAAGGAATGATGAAAAATTAGCATGAAATCAAGATTTAATTAAGAGACTAAACTAACTAATTGCAAAACTGATTTAAGCATAAAAATAGGTATTAGGACAGTAATGGCAGTAAATTAATTTTAATTAAAAATTAAATAAATAAAAAGAAATAATTAAACAAAAGATATTGACAGTACAACTAAAATAGATTCTGTGACTCCTGAATTGTCAGAAAATTTTATCAGATTAACACCGGGAAAAAAAAATCAAACGTTCATAAATAAACTAATTTATAATATTTATTCAGTTTAACAATGAAAGATTAAGAAAGTATTTCATCCATGAAAAGAGTTTACAATATAACTTACATATAGAACATTCAATATTTTGATTTTAAACATTTTAACACTGAAAGCATAATGATTTCATTATGGATTTTAAAATTTATATATATATAACGTTCAGGGATAAAAAATTACTTTTCTTACACACTGATTGATGTGAGCATGCATAATACAAAGCAATATCTTTGATCAATGGCTTTGTGAGCAATATTTGAGCTTATTACTTAACACTAAAAAAAGATTTAACAAAAAACTTTAGATCTTTGCTTTACATGTAAATACATTGCTTCAATTTAAATATTATTTTTTTTGTACTAAATTATCAAAAGATATAAATTAACTCTAAGAATATTTTCTACAGTTCATTCAATAAAATAAATTAGATATAAATAAACAGAAAAATTAGAAGCCTGAATTAGATAAAATATTTTCATTATTAAAAAACACTATATTAAAATTTAATTTAGTTTCATTGTATTAGATTGCTCGATAAGAATATTTAATGCACATTGTTAGCACAAAAGATGAAGGTACATTGCTAGAAGTCAGTGTTTCAGGTGCCTCTTTTAGCAAATATTTCAAATTTTTTTTTATTCAGTAATTTTATTTATTTTTATTCAGTAATTTTATTTATTTTTATTCAGTAATTTTATTTAAAACTTTCAAAACAGAACATACAATAAAATAAAGAACAAAAATATTTAATTTAGTTTCATTGTATTAGATTGCTTAATAAGAATATTTAATGCACATTGTTAGCACAAAAGATGAAGGTACATTGCTAGATCTCAGTGCTTCAGATACCTCTGTTAGCAAATATTTCAAATTTTTTTTTTATTCAGTAATTTTATTTATTTTTATTCAGTAATTTTATTTAAAGCTTTCAAAACAGAACATACAATAAAATAAAGAACAAAAATATATAATTTAGTTTCATTGTATTAGATTGCTTGATAAAAATATTTAATGCACATTGTTAGCACGAAAGATGCAGGTGCATTGCTAGACGTCAGTGTTTCAGATACCTCTTTTAGCAAATATTTCAAATTTTTTTCTTTTAATTCAGTAATTTGGTTAAAGCTTTCAAAACAGAACATATAATAAAATAAAGAACATAAATCACTCTTTTTCTGCACATAGTAAAAAAAAAAGCATTTTTTTTTAAAAAATTCATCTTTTATTTAGATTTTTTTTCGGAACAGATTGTTTATCAGCATCCATTTTATGCAAACCTGCTTTTGAAAACTAAGTCTCTGAATGACAGCAGCTTATAACGTTTTCAGGGTTTACAAATAGGACGGAAAAAAATAATAATTTATATATTAATACAATGATATTTTTGATATGATTGGTTAAATTTCAGATAATCAAAATAACTACTACAACTAAAGTTATGCATAAGTATGCATATACAACATATATATACATAGTGAGTAATAATCATCCTGATTATGAAATAAATACAATTAAAAAAGGAGGTAATTTCATAACAAATGACACAAACACTTACAGAATAACTTCTTGGGGTGGAGCTGAAGGAAGAAATGTTGTAGAGAGTTTCATGTTGTATTCATTCATTAAAGCATTTGTCAAAACTTCCATCGCTTTGCATGCCGACATAAGAGCACTCTGCTCTATCTTGTTCACTATCAGTGCCATCCAGAGGCAGAAAGCAAGTGCAAATGTTGCCACAAATTGGAAGAAAATGATAAATATTTCAAAAAATCCAATGTTATCGATCAGTGCAGTGACAGCAAGCAGTGCCATCAACAAGAAGCTGATCATGAAGAATAGTAGTCGACTGTTTTGCAGTTGCTTCATGTTTTTCCGCAAAATAATGTGGCTGCTATCGATGGCCTCTAATCGAGCTTTGGGATTTTCCGGCATTCTTGGTGCTAAAAGAAACAAAAATAAATAAAACGGTGACACAATTTATAAACTGAACAAGAATAATAGAAACAGCATTAGAAAATTTAAAAACTTTAATAAATAATAAAAATTTAGGGGGGGGGGTAATAATTACACACCAAATTCTCTTATTTTAGTGTGATTTCATTTCAACTTTTACTTTTAAATTTGTATTCTTTACTAATCTATCTTTTATCACACATTTACAGTTGTGTTTCAGCAAACAACATAAATATAATGTAGCTTCAGCCAACACTAAAATTTAATGTTCGTAACTAATTCTTTCAAACTAATTATAACTAGCTATAATTAGTCAACTAACATAATACAGTTCAACTAACTAATTATAAACTTTTTCAAACTAATTATAATACAGTTGAACCTCAATCCATTGTTTCTGCATCTTTGACTTTCTCAAATGCATCGTCATGTTTTAACCATCACAAATACTCATATAATGTTAATAGTATTTGTTTTATTTGTTTAGAAATCAGCAGATTCCTGCATTTATCATTCAGAAATTCTATAGAATTTGTTTTTTATTAAAAAATTGAAGTTATTTTGTTTTAAGATGAAAAATAATATCTGCTGATGCTAGTAATGAAGGAAAAAACTGAGGATTTGTTACAATTTGGTTAAAACTGTAACAAATCCCTAAATAAGGTTTGATGGTTATGTATTAGTAGATGAAGACGGCAAAACGGAACTACAACCAATGCGGGGTACTACAAACAAAAACAATTTATGAAAGGTCTTGAAGTGTTTAAAACAATGAGAAACTTTCTGCATTTTTTATGCAAACCTACAGAAAATGAACAGCAACCTGATACAAATGTCAAAAATTTATTGTTTGAGCTAAGAAGAAAAGAAAGAATTCGAACTATCATAAAAACGCCCATAAAAATCAAATATTACACACAAAAGTGAAACAGAGATAACAAAAATTCCTTTTAATTCTTGAAATAAAATATTAAAGCTGAACATCTCAGTTTTCCAATTACTGTATTTTCATTAAAAAGTGAAGAAAAAAGAATAAGATCTAACACAAGCATTCTTAAAATTTGCTGTGCCATAATAAAAACATTGATAAAAACCAAGAGTTTTTAGTTGATAAAATGAAAAAAACCATTTTTTTAAAAGAAAAAGCTAAATAGTAACAAAAACAAAAAACACACTTAATTTTTAAATGCAAATCAAATGCTGAAAATATCAATTAAACTTTTTTACTTTGCTGCATTTTCAGAAAAAAAATTGCTATATTATAAAGTTTTTAATAAATGCCTTGTCATAATCAGAACATTGATAAAAAGAAAGTATAAAAAGAACAAAAGAAAAAAATTGTTCTTAGTTCCTAAAAATTAAACTTTAACATTGAAAATCACAGTTTTCCATGCTACAGATTAACTATATTACAGCACTGGAAAAAAGTGACAGAAAGTTTTCCAGAAGATAGATTTGCAAGCACATGAATTTTAAAACTTAATAAATATGCATAAAAATTATTCCCAATAATAAACTATACTATATCTAATATAGTTAAAAATACGATGTCAGATCATTCCTTACTATATATATACAAATTTTTAAAAAAAAAAAACTTCGTAGAAAAATATTTTGCAAAATATACTCTGCCGAATATTTGGTCAAACATTCTGCCATATTGAATTTTTGACAAAAGAGTTGAATACTCCTTATATCCTTAATTTTAATACAATGTCATTGTAATGTGAAAAATTCATGAAGTGGGGGAAAAATGTAAATTTTTAAACTGCTCACTGTTTGTAATTTCGGTTTAAACTATTTGCTGATTAAGTGATTTTTTCAGGGGTAAAAAAGCTACTACTGTACAAAAAAAAATTCAATAAAAAGAAATAATATCTGAAGTATATTACCAAATAAGTATTGAATCTTACTCTGAATATAATGGTTTTGTTTTTATTTAAGGCTTTTGTTTAAAACCATATAACTTTTCTTCAATTAAAATATTTAATTTGAATTTATATTACTTAAGATGCATTTAATTTTATTTCATCCTGTAAGCATTGCTGTTTTTTGTTATGAGAATTTATTTTAAAATGAATTTTTGTATTGCGCGATGAATAAAAAAAACATTTTCTTCCCATGTTTATTTATTTATTTTAATTATTTATTAAATTTATTTTTGATAAATGGATGGATGGAAAAATAAAAACAACGGGTTTATAATATTGGTAATGTTGAATTGGTTGCAAAACATCATTCCAATTTGCAAGGATCAAATAACATAGAAGCAATTAAAAGAATGAGATTCAAGTAATTTAACAATGCTTAGAACCAGAAACACAAAAAAATATTTGTAAACCTTTTTTTTTTTAAAAAATATTCTACTCAATAATTTTTTCAAATCATTTAGTTTATTATCCTTACAAATAATCTAAAATAATATTTTGAAGCACAAATCTTAAAATATTCAAAATTAATAAAAATAGACTATTTGGTGGTCTAACACTTACTAGTTGGTACTTGGTAAGTGGAATACCAAATAATTTGTAGAATGAAAATTGAGTATTAATTATAAAGCAAAAATCACTTTCCTGTAAATATCACAAACACATATAATTTTCACGCATAAATTAAAATAACAATTTCTTCTATTTCAATACAATTTAGCTTTTTTACAAGTGTTTTGAATTCCCAAACAAAATGAAATAAAAGTTAAGAAATTTAACAACTTGCCTTCAATCATAAAACAAAGATACACATACCAGATTTAATGTGTTAAAACTTACCCTCTAGAGATTTGAAAACATGTAATGTAGCAATAACAGCTTCATGATCAGAATAAGGAATGGAAGAATCAGGAATCTTGCCCAAAGTTGTATTACAAGAAAGACATTCAACATGGGTACCTTAAATAGTGGATGTTGTATCATAAAAGTAGCTTCAAACAATCACATACAACTAGAAAACCTAACTCCCAAAAGAAAATCATAAATGGATACACATTATTAAACTTTCAGTTTGTTAGAAGCCTAACACGAATATACACACTAGAATTACTTTTTTCCTTCTAAATAATGTTATGCCTTGGCCCACATCAAAATCATAAATTTTTTAGGAAGAATAAAAATTTGTGTTGAATAAAAAATCAAAGAGAATGTTATGACAATAAAAGGATAACATATAGATCCTAAGAAACTAGCACCCAGATTTGATATCTCTGGATAGCAGCAAGAACAGCTTATACCTGCCTAAGCAGCAGATTAAAGAGATATTGTACAGCCTTTTCAGAGACTTCAGTCACTACAGCTTCAACACTATTCCACAGTTTATTGTGAGCAGCGATTAGTGAGTAGTTGCATGCCAGTCACTAGGCAACCATTGACTATGTGTTTTAAATTGTTCAAATATCAGGAGAACATGGATGGCAGGGTAATAGCTAAATTTGTTTTGTATCAAGGTTGGTTAGAAAAAAACATAAGTCTAGCATTGTCTCATTGAAAAATAGCGTAAGAGAGGTCTCCATGGGTGCAAGTTGGAAAAAAAGGCCAAGACTGAAAATTTTTTGACTGAAATACCTAACATACACAATACCCCTCGACATATGCAAACTATCTAAGAAAGCTTTACCATAATACATCAAGTTTAAATACTGTACAAAAAATGTTGATAAAATAACAACAGGACATAAGAAAGTAGACCAATAACGTAAACCTAAAAAATATTTTTAAGGACAGAAGAAAAAAAAATTCCGATTTCGTCTTCGAGTCAGTCTTGTTTCCGTCCGCAGACATTTTCGAAAGACGGAAATCCGTCCTGGGGACGGAAGACTTGCACCCATGGAGGTCTCAAAGACAAGGCCGAACCCTTAACACACCTAATGCGTTGCTCTTGTGGCGTAACTACCACTACGAATATTAAACATCAATTCGCTGGTATATAAGACATGCTAACTTGATTCAATCATGAGGCACCTTTTGATAGATGAAGGTTGGTATGATCGATAACTCCGCCCCCACATTGGTGACCCGGACGTGATTTGTACCCACAGTAACGCCTACTTCGATAGATGATCTACATTGAACAGTTGATTTGCTACTTGTGATAGCAGCACCATCCATCTCCTCACTCTGTTGCTGCTCAGTCTCGTCTCGAACATACACACAACAACGGCCAGCATACACTTGACAGCTAAAAAGGCAACACAGGAGCGACAATGTCTGTGAAGCTAATACACCTCTCACATTCAGCACTCAAAACCCCGGTGATCTTAATTCCAGCTCTCCCGGTCTTTCACAAGTACAGTAACTAAGTGGAAACTGTTCATTGAATTCTATCTCTGATAAAGTTCTGGTGGGGGAGTATTGTGGCGAAACTACCACTACAAATATTAAACATCAATTCACTAGTATATAACACATGCTAACTCGATTCAATCATGAGGTACCTTTCGATAGATGAAGGTTGGCATGGTCGTAAAACTCCGCCCCCACACTGTTCAAAGTGCCAGAATGCAAGCAAGAGGTGATGAGCCAGCATGATGATGACAAGTGTAAGTTCTCTATGATGCCTCACACTAATGTGCTTATTACAGTGCTGTACACAGAACCGGCATGTGTTTATAAAGATGATGTACTACCATTTGATAGTTCTGGTAGATAGTTGATCACCTATTCACGATTTAGCCTCAAAAGAAGCAGATGCCATGGCTGCCTTTCCGATATCATACGATAGAAAACTGTACCAAACTGTTAGAACATAAACTTGCCGTTTTTCAAGTCTCGACTCCTTGCTCATAAATTAGCAGTGCGAACCTTTGTGGTTTAAGGCACTTGTCTGTTCAGCTATTAGCAATGGAGAACTGCTGAAATCCAGTATGATGCTCCATATTTCATTCCCGAACCTCTCGATTCCGTATTTAGTGGACAGATAAGGGATCTTGATTGAAGAGAGCAGCATAATAACCACAATCCCTGTAGGCTATAATCCTTTATAAAACATTAAATTTGCACTGAAACACATTTCCTCTTTTACGAGGTTGGCAAATTTCTGCCGAGGTGGTTAAAACCACTGGTAGAAACCGGTTAAAACTGGCATGGCAGAAATTCAGAAAATGACATAAATGTAAGTAGTGAGCTTGACATACAATGGATAATTCATAGAAATGATCAGTTTATTGATTATGAATCAGTGAATCTAACCAATTATATTGCCTCTTACATACAGCAAAGATTAAAACTGTTACTGTTATAATAATTGGATTGTTGCCATGCAAATTATGTCTTGAAAAGAAAAAAACTTTTTGAAAATACCTCTATTTAGTTATGTTAAGAGTTACATGATAATAACTACTGAATTTCAGAGTTTAATATAATAAACTAAAATCCAGTATTTATATTTATTATTACATTACTTTTTTCTTTATTTTATATAAATATTTGATATACTGCATTTTTTATATTTAATATAAACAAAATAATATATATTTACAAACAATGAATTAAAAAGTTTGTTACAGTTACATGGAGTTAAATTTTTAAGTTTACTTAAACAAAATGTCATTAAGCAATTACTAGAACTAATATAGACGTTTTTTTAGTTTTTGCTGGTTATAACCAGTTTCTGCCACTGGCATGGCAAAAACCAGTTTCTGCCGGCAAAAAGCCAACCCTGCTCTTTTTATACGTTACATGAACTCTTTAGCTGAACAAAGAAAATATTTCGCTGGCATGAGAAAAATTGGTGTCAAACCTTTGCTTTAATATTTATTTTAGGTGTATCTACTACAGTTTGTTTTAAAATAAATGTTCTAAAAATAATTTGCATATCAAAGTTGATCTATCATGAACATTTCATGTGTGGAGAGTGCTGCCTTTTTGATAATGCAATTTTAAAAGTCAATAGTGTAATGACACATAACAAGGGAAGTAGAAGGTATTTGTAGTAGATGTAAAATATAATTTATAAACAGGATAATTTTTGCCAAATAAGGTTTGATAAGGGATCGCTTACCAGCCCCACATTTGTAGAGGATGTAATCAATTCTCTTCCCAGTTGGACATTCATTGAGCTCTTTGCGACTTGTGTAAAGATTATCTGGATGGCCACATGTAGTCTTGATAGATTCATCCCCCTATCAAAAATCAAGGCAACTTTTTCATAACAATAACTGAAAAATTAAAATAATTAAAAAGACATAAAAAAACCTAAAATTTCTTAATAGACTTTTTTTAAGAGGAAACTAAATCAGCATAACCTCATTTTTATACTCAGGTCATAGTCAATTTGTTAAATACTAAAATTTGGAGATTCCTCACTTTGTCAACAAATAATAAGAAAGTTTTTTAATTGAGATTTTGTGTTAGCGGAAAGTTTTTCATTCTATCTAACTCTGCATATATAATTGACATTTTAATACAATAAACTTACAAAATTATAAGAGAAATCTAAATCACTTTATTATTAGTCATAAATATTTTTTTTACTATTTTAATACCCAAAATGTACTATTTCAACACACTTTGAAAGAAAAAAAAAACCCATTAATAACACAGAAAACATTCAATCTATTAATCCATATAATTGAAGACCTTAGAGGATAAAGATCATGCAACATTTTAATGAAATTCTTAACACCAGCATTAGTAAATAGAGCAACAATATGAAGCATGTTGCATGACATGAGCAACACATTTTTCCATAAATAACCTTCAGATTTCACAAACTGGTAAAAAATTAAGCTTATCATAACACGATTTTAAATGCAAAACTTTGTATTTTTTTTTAAAAATGTGACTGAGCTGCAGGTCTTATTAGGGTTGCCTGCCTCATTTTCACTGTTCCAATAAGTTCTACAATTTAAAATAACGTTAAAGAGGTTGTAGTGGAATGTAATAGTTTTACAAAAAGTAAATTCTTTCATTACTGAAACAAAAGGATCCTTTTGAGCGAGGTAAGCATCAAGGCAGCCAGCATTGTGAACAATGACTCGGTATGGCAAATCCGTTGGTTCAGTATTGAAGTCTCCTGCGACTATACTCAGGTCTGCAGTCTCAGAGGTGAGCTGAACAAATTGGCTAAATTCAAATGCTTGTGCCACCCTATGAGGCAGGTACTGATCATGGAATGTGTTGTACTCAGCATGTAACTGTAGAAAAAAAAAAGACACATATATGATAAGACACATATATGATTCAATTACTGAATTTAATTATTTTTTAGCAATAATATGATAGCAGCAAAATCTGTGTGACAAATTCAATTTCTTAAAAGATATTTTGAAATACTTAAATATTCAACTTTTCTACTTCACTACACATTATAGTCATCTAGATATCATATTTTCAGCATTTAATTTTAATTTTTATAAAAAAGATAAACTTTCGCTCCCCAACACCTCACACATACAAGAATGGGTCATCCTGTTGCCACAACAAATCTTCCTTGTATGAAGCATTATTAAACATAATTCAGAAATATAATTAAGTATAATTCCTACTTACGATGAAACAGGTGTTTCACAAGTAAGTGTTTTTCATAAATTACATAACAAATCTATTAGGAGACAAATCTGGTGTTTATACTGGCCATGTGATTACTTCACCAATTTAGTGCCTGAGAAAGGTGGCCTGGAAATATGTTCTGACCTATCTGCAGAAAAGAGAAAAGCTTGGACGTGGGGAAATCGAATTTTCAATGAATAGGCGCAGAAACACAATTCCTAGAAGCACTTGCAATATTATATGATAATTAGGACAATGAGTTTTGTAAGCAGGGTGTAAGGACTGGGTAAACTGTGTCAGTTCAGTTCTCAAAACTAATTTTTTTGTTACTAGTCAAGCATATAAGTAGTTCTAATTGTACTCAATCATGAGCTCTTTATTAAAAAAATCCTAACTTTTCTTATTTTGTATTTGTGACATGGATCTCAGCTTCTATGTTAAGCATAATTTACCCTATTGTTTGAGACAGAAAAAAAAATTTCTGTGGAAAAATGTGATAACACAAATACAATTGCTAAATATATATAAAAAATAATAAAATTGTCTACCTTGGTTAATCATGATTGAAATATTTATTATTGGATAAGCAGCTGTTGCACTTATACTAAGCATCAAGAAAAATGATGCAGACAATGAAAAAAAAATAATAACTAAATAAATAAGTTGCAACTTATGCTGAACACAAAAAAATAAACATTTCAGTTCAATAAAAGTGAAAAGCCCATTACATGAGTCACATATAAGTTAATTTTTAATCCATGATGGATGACTTTGCAGAGTCCAACCACTTTTCCTCCATACCAGTCACCATGAAGAATTTTGTGAGCATAACCATTTAGGGAATATTGAGACTGTGCTGCATCCACAATGCAGCTCTTGGAGAGGATACAGACTCCACTGCCAAGCACTCCACTAAAACAAAACATGAACATCAGTTCTGCAGCTTTTACACAATTCAAGGTTCAGAGATGTTAAATTTTTTTTCACTTTTCACACATTACAAGTTTATTTAAATCAATTTGAATTATATAAAATAGTATTTCATAACTTATACTAATTTCGGATCATATTTTTGAAACAACTTTAATAATAATAATAATTTTTATTTAATATAAGTTACCATTCTTTATTTAAGAATATTTTAAAAAATATAACACAATGAAAAATTTTAAACATATCCTTAAGAGATGTCACAAGGGGTAAGATAAACCTAATTAACTAGTATCCTCACAGCATTTTGCTAATGATATCTTTATTTGAGGGCAAATGTATCATTTCCACAGAAAACAATATGAAATATTTTTTAACTTAAGAAAATTTTGTAGACTAAATTTTTTGAAATTAATTTTTCATTATTAATTTCAGAAATTTTAACATTTGGCTTTTTAAATAATAGACCTATACAACTGACATATCAGAAATGTGCTATCTGATGATCAGAAATAGGGTGTTGTAATAAACGCCAAGATATACAATGCGTCAGAAAACTAAATCAAGACATTATCAGTAAAACATTACATTTCTATGTTCCTTATTTTAAATCCATAAAAAATATCTACATTAATATTTTCTGCAATAAATGTCAAAATGAGCTTTCAAAAATTGCATTTTTGTTGTAAAAAAATTAGCTGTACAAATACTATGTCAATTATAAAAATTTGTCATTTATAGAATTGTTTACTTAGAAATTCGTTTATTTTTTGGGAAGCCTATTATTTCAAAGACAAAGCTCATACGCTTATATCAATGTCCTCAAAAAAATCAAAATTAAAATAGCATAAACCAAAGAAAACAACATATGGTTGTAGTGTAGATGCTGCAAATCTTAATTATAATTCAACATTGTAAGAAAATGTTTTTTAGATAATATTGAAAGAGTTTTACCTATGAAAATAGTAAGAGAAGGGTAATACATCTGCAGATTTTTTACAAATCATCTGGTAATCATCTTGACTCCATATCTAAAATTGTGTATGATATGTTACAAATAAAGAATGAATGAAATAAACATGCTTAAAATAAGAATATTAAATGTAGGCTATGTTTAATGGCTCTATATAAGATAAAATTTCTAACAACAATTGAAAAAGTAACAGTATTGAAAATTGATAAAAATATTAATGACAAACACAAAAAGATAACTTAAATGGTTAAAAAAATGCTCAGTAAAAATACGGTCAGATTAAATACTTTGAACACCTAGGATTGTATTTTTCAGAGGCCCTCTTATCACAAATTTACAAGATTTATGTACACTAGCTAGAAAAGTTAAATATCTTTCACCTTATAGTATAAATAAATAATGCTTTGATAATTAACAAAACATTAAAAGTCGTAGAGATATTATTTTACTATACATATTTATCGATCACTGATATTCATTATAATATGCAAGGTGATTCAAAAGTGTCTTTTCAACTTTGACACGATACAATGTCAGAGGCAGTTGTTTCTTGAACATAATTTACAAAAGATAAAGTAAGATTTCTTTTTTTAAAAAGTATTTTACAATTTATATTTATAAAGTATTATAATTCGAAATTTTTTTGAGGAAAATGAATTTTAAGAATTATGAATGATCATTTAAATTATTACATTACTTTTTAGTTCAATAAACTGGATTATTTCCCTATTTAAAAGACAACAAAATTCAGGATTAGTAGAGATGTTATTTTACTATACACATTTTTTATCGATCACTGGTATCTATTATAATATGCAAGGTGATTCAAAAGTGTCTTTTCAACTTTGACACACTACGATGTCAGAGGCAGTTGCTTCTTGAACATAATTTACAAAAGATAAAGTAAGATTTCTTTTTTTAAAAAGTATTTTATATTTCATCAAGTATTATAATTTGAAATATTTTTTTGGAGGAAAAGAAATTTTAAGAATTATGAATGATTATTTAAATTATTAGTCAATAAAATTATAACATTACTTTTTAGTTCAATAAACTGGATTATTTCGCGATTTAAAAGACAACAAAATTCAGGATTAGTAGAGATGTTATTTTACTATACATATTTATCGATCACTGGTATCCATTATAACATGCAAGGTGATTCAAAAGTGTCTTTTCAACTTTGACACAATACAATGTCAGAGGCAGTTGTTTCTTGAACATAATTTAAAAGACAACAAAATTCAGGATCTTTTTAAGACCACACAATTTCATTTATAATTCAATCCGGTTCTTTCCTATACTTTTCTGTCTTTTTAAGAAGCTTCATACATTTCATGTTCAGTGATAGTTTGTTCATTAACAGTCATAACATGATAATTACAGAGCTGATAGTTATCAATATTTTTTAATATAGCAATTTCTATCGTTTTATCTTTTTAAAAAAATATTATCACTTCAAATTAGACAAAGTAAAAAAAAAGTTTTTGATTTTTTAAACATTTAAGATGAAACTTACGAAGATAATGTTTAAATCTGCCCCTGAATAAGAAAGTATTTGCGGAAATTTGAAAGAGATAATTAATAGATGAAAAGAAAACTGAAGATCATAGAACAGACATGAATTCGTGTTCATAGAAATTTCAAAGATCTTTACTAGTTATTAGAAAATAAACTTTTAAGAACTATTTGAATAAATAGGAGCCAATTAGCCATATTTGTAAAATGTCATTTTTATATTTATAGTTTATTTCCATATTAATTATATTAATATAAAATTTCAATAAAGTTAACCAAACATTCTTTTTAACTGGTTAAAGTGGTATGGCAGCATATATAGTAAATATCAATATCTTTTCATGGCCTTTAAAATTATAATATATTTTAGTAAAGAAAATAAGAAGTAATTTTAAGAAATACTTAATTGAAAATATGCACCAGTTATTAGTATAACTCAAGTCTAAACTTCTTAAGTTAGCACATCAGGTAATAAATTACAACAAATACTATTTAGCCTAAATTATTAAGTATAAGACAAGCCATTAAATTATTCAAGTTAATAAATTATTATGTAAGCCGAATTGTACTAAGTTTAAATGTCAAATTGAGTATAAATGATAAAAAAACATTAAAATAATTAAAAAAAAATTTAACTAGAGAGAAAAAATATGATTTACCTCTTGTAAGAATACAAAATCATAATTAGAAGATGCAATATGAGTTGCTATAGCCTCCATTCTTTGTTTTCTGTGTCTACTAATGCCCACAATTCCCCTAAAAAACAAAAAATAATAATTTTGGAAACATTTTGTTGGCAACAAAATTATAGCAAATTATATAAAATAATTGCATTTCAATGTTCTGTTCATCTAATTTTCAGTTTTAAGCGTTTTGCTAAGATTAAATTTTGTAAAAATATATAAAAGAAAGCAAATTTATTTTAATTTAAAAATTTTATTTCTAAAATTATATTCTTCCATTTCATACTTTTTGTTCGCAATATTAAAGTCTCTATTACATCAAAAGAAAATTATGAAATACTTTGTACCTAAGGTATATTAAGACTATACTTATTTTATTTGTCAATGGTTTTATTTCAGTTGATTGAATAAAAAAAAACTCAGTAAGAATTTTAATTTTTAAATATTTTAAAGTTCTAATTCTGTGTAAACATACATAAATTTTTTAAAATATTCTTCACCCAAAGATGCACATTTAGTATCATTAACATATTGAAACACAAGGCAAAATAAGTAGAACACTTTAATAAAAATAATAAAATAATTTAAAATATTAATTTAAATTATTTTATTGCAATTTACTTTAAAATATTTAATTGCAATTTTGAACATTGAAACAAAGTTAGTCATTCCAAAAAGTATAGGGATTTATTAGAAACGATTGAAAACTCTGTACACATTTGGTTTCTTATTTAAAAAATGAAATTGCAGATATTTGGTTTTTGCAATCAAGTATATTAATATATGAGATGTCTCTTTTAGATAAAATATACTATGTGAAAATTTTGATTGATTCCAAGAAAAATTATATTATTGAAATTAAGCAAATTATTTTGACTATTCAAAGAACATTAGAATTCAAAATCAAAGATATTCACATGATTAGAAAACATTAATTTCTTTTCCACTTATAATTAAATTACAGTCTTTTCCAAATTTTTTTAATTTTTATATCACTGAATTCAAATAGTATAAAATGGTTCAACAGTTGCAGAAAAAATTAAATCTTTAGTCAAGTAATTGAAATACTAGCTAGAATAATTATAAAAATACTGTTATAGCTTATGACAGTTTCAATACTAAATGTATGTTTGTTTCATTATTTTTTTTTCCTGTTTAAATAATTTTTTTAGCAGTAGTAAAGATAGATACAATTCTTATTCCATTTTCATTAAAGCATAATTTTGAAGGAAAACGAAATCGATAACGTGAACTGATTAAAAAATTCCACAATAAACTTTTTAAGACTAATGTTTCAAAAATCCAACAAGCTACAAAGAATAATAGACTTTATTTACAGGTTTCACAAAACATTACTGAAATAGAACGATTTGAATATTGTTTAGTGAGTACAATCAATTAATGAAAATAATTTAATAGTAGTACTATACAATTTTAACAATACAAATCTATATTACCATTATTTACATGATAGATACAAACTCATTTACTATTAGCATAATTTTAAGAAAGAGATATTTAAAATGGAAATCTATTTCAATAGAATTTATATTTCATTATTTTGAATGCAAAATTTTGGATTAAATAAAGGATAACCAAAAAGTGATGCAAGAAATTCTAAATTTTTTAAAGAAACTTTTCAAGGGGTCATTCTATTTTTTAAGAATGTATAATTTTGGATTAAATACAGAAATAACCTGAACTGATAGAAATAATTTAAAAATACGATGAGTAATTTTTTAACATAAATCCATGAGTCACAATTTTCACAAGACACTATTAATAGACAATATTTATAACAATTACAGGTTATACAAAATATTTAAAAAATTTTTATTTTATTTTTTGACTGATTCATTTAAGGAGTTCACTATAAATACGACCATTTATTAAAAGATCGCTGAAAGAGGTAAAAAATAAAATAAAAATTGTATAACATATACTAGTAAGGAGCAACATAAAACTTATGAAGTTAATAAAATTTTAACATACCAACAATTTAGTGTCAATATATTTAATTTTACATCCATCTTCATTCCGAGATTAGGATTACTTTCGCTTTTTACAAACAAAATTAACAATTCTAGATTTACTTGTATTTATACAGGCAATTGTCCACACTGTCATCGGAAATGCATATGCATCGTTCATTCTGGTTTTTGTTTACATCAGCATAGTCCCATAAAATCGAACATCATCATCATCGAGAACGTAAAATCACCGATACCGATTAAAAACAGCTACACCACACATCGTTCGCTGAATGAAGTGCCGTCTATCGGCAACGAAATGAAATAAGGTCAGAATATGTCGGTCAAAGAACTAAAGAGAGCAAGGATCTCAAGACACTTTTACTTCCATAGCAAACGTTTATAAGGAAAAGTGTTGTAATTTTACTTTTTTTTTCTTCATCCGGATTTGGGGAAGGAATGTTATGTTTAGAAATTTTAGTTCGAAAAAAATTGTAAGAAATTAAATAAATGTAGACAACCAGTGGTGGGGGGAAAGGGGGCATCTAATCGACGATTATATGCACTGAAATTTTAAATCTGAGATAAAATTTTTAGTTATATATAATAAAATTTTGTAATAATACTAGCTATTAATTTAAATTAATAGATATTAATTTTATCAAGAAAGTATTTCTTATGAAAAAACATATAATAAAATATTTTATGAAGAATGAAATATATTTTAAAAAAATTTAATAATGAAGTGTCGAGCCACTGCAATTTAAAAACTTTTTAAAAATCTTTATTCAATTGTTATTAATTTTATCAAGAATAAATTATTTATTAAATAGTTATTAAATTAATAGTTATTAATTTTATCAAGAAAGTATTTCTTATGAAAAAACTTATAACAAAATATTTTATGAAGAATGATCAAAAAATTTAATAATGAAGTGTCAAGCAAGCCACTACTATTTAAAGATTTTTTATGTCTAAAAAAAATTAAAGAATATTTTGTTGGAGGTAATAAATTTTAATAAAGAATAATTGCCGCTTACAATTACATAAAAATAAATTTAGAACATGGATTTAAATTTTTACGAATACACATAGTTCCTATGTTTTTCTTTCTTTTTAACTTAATCATTTTTTTCTTCTTTGCTCTAATCAGAGATAGCATAATTGCTTCCTTAGGAGCATGGAGCATCAATCACTGAGTTTACTCTTTAATTTGTGAGGGTGGTGATAAATTTTAAAAACCTTATTTGATAAATTTATTTTTCACCAAATTTATTATATAATACTACATTAAAATTTATATTTATCAAATCAATCTTATTAGAGCCATGATTGGTCAGGGGATAGAATGTTCGCCGTCCAATGAGGAGTACCGGGTTCGAATCCCAGCAATGACTGGTCTATACGAATCCCGCACCCGACTTGCACCGACCACACTGCTGTAGTAAAAATATCTTCAGAGAGTTAGAGTCCCCTTGTCGTCAGGCTAACCATGGAAAATTTTCATAATTTTGCTCCCTATGTAAGGCAAATGCGGATTTTGATGGCAAATTTCTCATAATAATTGATCTAGGAGTTCCCTTGTCTTCTGAACTGGGTTCAAAATTACAAGGCTACGAAGTTGTACATTAGTAGTCGTAAACCCTAAGTTGTATCGGATGTTCAACGACGGTTATAAAATAAAATAAAAATCAATCTTATTATATCTAAATTTATAAAATAAGCAAGCAAATTTGTAATTGGAGGATTGGTTGAACCTTGGTTGAACTTACACATTAGTTTTAATTTTTTTTACAGGGGGATAATTTCAAGACATTTTTTTTAAGGATTATTATTTTGATAATTTTTATTATATCCTGAAAAGATGTTGGAGTTCTCAGAAGAATCCCAAATTTTACTCTACAAAACCTAATTTCTTGTGACTGCATAGTGCATAATTAACCCGTCTCCATTTTCATAAGATGAAATTGATGCATTATATTACGAGTTAAACTCTTCGATTTTTAACGAAGAATTAACTTCCTTGGTACTGGTACCAATTGACAAAGTCATTGTAATGGCAATATTGATGACGTAAAGGATCGTAACAGGTAAGCTAGTACCAAGGAATTTAATTCTTCAGTCAAATTGAAGTTACATTTGAATTTTAATTGTAGGACGTTTAATTTAGTCAAACAAAACTAATAAAAAAAATTCTAAGTCTTGCGTTTTGGTGCAACTCATCAGGTAATCATTTTCATTCATATTGAATTTAGTAACTTCAAAATAAAATATGGAGCTCGAAAGATTCAAGATGTGCAGAGACACAAATTTTATTTTATTGTATGTACTATTTATAATATTTACTGTTTCTTTTAAACAAAATAATATCTAAATTCCATAGTTAATCAAAAATCTTTTTAGGTCTTAATAAATAAGTAATTAGTTCAGAAAGTTTTTCATTTACATTGATTTATTAAGTGAGTATAGTAGTAATTAGCATTAAATTTATGAATTATGTTTTCAGCAAGTTTTACTTTGGCTCCCCTTTGAATTTTTTCTAGATACAAGCTTGATAATCTGCATAAATATTCTAAATTTAATAATCTAAATTTTAAATTAAAATTTTAAGCATTTTTCTCCTTCAAAGCTGTTTGAAAGTATTAGAAGCTAGATTTCCTTTCATTTGCCCCTCTAAATGGTATTACTTTTGCTTGTTTTATTTTTCTCTCGTTTGATAAAAAGGGAATCCATAATTCTGAAATGGTGATAGGTGTAGGCGGGAAATAATAGTTGCTATAGAAACGCAGCGCTTATCAAATCATGTCACATATTTTTATCTCTAACATCGATCTGTATTATCCTTAATGATACCTCATGTGTTTTTAGAAGATATTATTCATTCGTTGTTAGATATTATTCATTCGGAGAAAATATATTTAAAATATTTAATATCGCGGAACTATCTAGTCTAAGCAATTGAGATAAAATGCTCACGAGCACTTAATTTTTAGTTTTGAATTTTATTCGATCCAGTGTAATAACAATTTGTTACATTAAGTTCTCTTTTGAGCTATGAGCGAAGTACTAAAACTATTGAAAGTTAGAAAATAATTGAAACATAATTGAACATAAATTGAAAGTTAGATATACATTTTGATCAATCGGATGTAGAGTCTAACGACAGAAAAGTTAAAAACGGCTATACTGTCTCAAAACTGTAACAAAATTATGCATATTAGTACTTAAGCACTTATAAATATAAGTACTATTTGTAGATAAATCTCCTGATGGTTGATATTAGCATTAAAAATAGTTATTTTAGAAATGATTTTGCTTGATTTAAATAAAATACGAGATGACAGTCTTTGGAATAACCTACCATAGTTGTCCATTGCCACAATGTAAGCAATAAAAGTTTTTACAACAAATTTTCTAAGTTATTTCCGTTGCATGTTTAGAATTATTACTTTTAAAAACATCGCTTTGCATCGCTTAAGCGATCTCTCCGCCACTCCTCTTTGTCAAAGAAAAAAAAAAACTCTACAAAATACTTTTTTTATTGAATGACTGAGTTTTTAACCAACAAGTAGTGGAAATATCGCAACATGATATTATTATTATATCTATCTATTCATAAAAATCTATAACTAATCATGCGTAAATGTTTATTTTATTTTATTAGTACTCATGTTCATTATTATTATTATTTTTACGATTTAGTTTGGAAGAAAAAATAAAACATCCAATTCATTGAAAACAGAGTTGTAAATGAAATTTTTAAGAAAATTTTTACTGTAAAATGAAGTTATTTGCGAAAGCCAAGATAAAACTTCTCCTCAAAATTAAATTTTAAATCTATAGGTAATGTGTTCATAAATTCATTCTCTTCCAAGAATAATCCTCAATTCATATTTTCAAATGTTCAAATTTTTGAAATTTTTAATTTTTTTGTATAACGAAGAGTGAAACATATTTTTCATATTTCTCTCCATTTTGTTTCGATTTATATGAGATAATATTCCATTTATAAAATAATGTAAGCTCTAATCAAAATAATGTTTCTTCCATTTAAATCATAGTTTAAATTCTTACATTCCCCTCCCCCCCCCAAGAAAAAAAAACTCAGATGTCATACCACTCATATTATAGTTCCCTCAAAGATTTTCTTATTCATTTAAAAACTAAAATAGAATAAAATAGCAAAATAGAATAAAATAACAAAATAAATAAAGATGTTTATACAAAATATAATCATGTTTTTAATGCATTCGTTCATTCGTGAAAATCTATAATTCATGAACATAATATTTTCATCTGGCAATCAATCATGTTGGCACTCATTTTTATAGACTATTATTAACTACCTTTTGTGATGATTCAGATTAATATTATAGATTAATTCTTATTAGCTTGTATTTTTAATAAAAATATTCTATTATACATGTATTTTCGTTATTTTTTGAAATATGGATGAGGCCTCCAGCATTAGGAATATAAGCAATGCTGGAGGTACCAGGCCAAGAGGGTCATGGAGATTAAAGCTCTACAATTTCGAAACTAAGGTCGTGATCAGTGGTTACCAACTGGCCGCCCTCGAAGCCTTTTTCGAGGCCCGCGAACTAAAATATATTAGTTGTCCTTTTTTGCAGACAATTTTCGTAAAAAATCTATATGGGCTTAAAATACTTTTTTCGTNATTTTTCTCCTTCAAAGCTGTTTGAAAGTATTAGAAGCTAGATTTCCTTTCATTTGCCCCTCTAAATGGTATTACTTTTGCTTGTTTTATTTTTCTCTCGTTTGATAAAAAGGGAATCCATAATTCTGAAATGGTGATAGGTGTAGGCGGGAAATAATAGTTGCTATAGAAACGCAGCGCTTATCAAATCATGTCACATATTTTTATCTCTAACATCGATCTGTATTATCCTTAATGATACCTCATGTGTTTTTAGAAGAAAGATAATGTTAGATATTATTCATTCGGAGAAAATATATTTAAAATATTTAATATTACAGAACTATCTAGTCTAAGCAATTGAGATAAAATGCTCACGAGCACTTAATTTTTCTTTTGAATTTTATTCGATCTAGTGTAATAACAATTTGTTACATTAAGTTTTCTTTTGAGCTATGAGCGAAGTACTAAAACTGCATAAATTGAAAGTTAGATATAAATTTTGGTCAATCGGATGTAGAGTCTAAAGACAGAAAAGTTAAAAACGGCTATACTGCCTCAAAACGGTTACAAAATTATACATATTAGTACTTAAGCACTTATACATATAAGTACTATTTGTAGATAAACCTCCTGATGGTT